ACATCATCTGAGGAGCTTTCGACAATATTCATGCGCAGGCTCCACCAGCAGATACTCTGATATTATTGGTCCAGGTGGAGCACACAAAGTGAAAAATGTTCTGTGGTCACCAGGTGATTCGGAAAAGTGACTGGGAACCATTGTCTAACTAGAGTCTAGGGGTCAGCCAATTCGTTTTGGTTTGTTTTTGCTATAGGATCAGCTTATTCGGCAAATCATATAGGCTTAGAGAGCCACGAAGTCTCAGTCACAACTATTCATCTCGGCTGTTGTAGCACAAAAGCAGCCATAAACAGTGTGTAAATGAATAAATGTGACTGTACTCCAATAAAACTTTATTTACAAAAATAGGTGGTGTGCTGGATTTGGCCCAGGGCCATCATTTGCCTGCTTCTGCTTATGAGAATGTTTTCAAAGCAGTTGCTCTAACCCTTCACCTAAGCTATCCTGAAGTCTCTGACTTTGAGCAGACCACTTCTCATTCTACTTCAATGGATAAACACAGGTCATCTGGCAGAAATTTCCTTCAATTTCTTTGTCCACTTGCAGACTCAATACACCTACATTTGTCCTCACTTTGCCTCCTATTACAGAAGCAAGTGTCCCTTATTACCAATGTGAATTTAATCCTTTCACTTAATTTCTTCCATCTCTTCTAAGGCTCCACTTCATTATTGATCTAATTTCCTATCTCTTTAACCATCCTCTCTCTACTGGCTCCTTTCCTTCAGCTAACAAGCATATTCAAGTGTTGTATCCTTAACTGAAGAACTATCAAAGCTTTCCACAACCCTGTAACCTCCCTTAAATACCCACCCCATGTGTCCCTATCCTTTAGAAATTCTATACCCACTGCTGCTACTCCTCTTCTCATTCACTCCTTAGGCCATTACAGTGAAGCTTTTGTTCTCCCTACTACACTAAAAGGGCTCTGTCAAGATCACCTAAGACCTTCTCACAGGGTTTGAACAATGATTTGTCTTGCAAAGGCTCATGTGTTGGGACTTGGTTGTATTTCAAGGTGTTAAGTGGAAAATTAATACCTTCATTGTGTCCCAAAGTGGGGTCTTTGGGTGGAATTAGATTGTTAGGGCAGGCTCCCAGTGATTTAGTTTTGATGAGTTTATAAACAGAGAGAATGGGACTATGAGAAGGAAACTCATGGATACAGACTCTGCTCTGCTCTGTTTTGCTCTGCTCAAAATTCCCCCTTCCACCATTTTGTGATGCCTTTGGACTTTCCAGACATCATAATCATAAATTTTGCCAATAAACCTCTATTTTCTTTAAAAATCACCCAGTCTTAGCTATTTCTATTAATAACACAATGAACTACTATATCTTCATAAACTAAATTCATAGTTCTTGTTAGACTTAACTTTCTCTGACATCACTCCCCATTTAGCTTTTGCAGTAACATTATGTCTGACATAGTTATTTTTCCTCTGATGACTACTTCCACACTGTTAATCCCTAATATCATTCAACAAACTCTCTTATGTTACTGATACATAGCTATCAAGTATTCCCCTAGCATCAACCACCACCTACATGTGATAACTCCCAAGTTTTACCTCTAGCTAACATCCCTTTCTCAAGTTTTAGGTACTTATTTTCAAATATATATTAAAAACTGTACTCAGGTTTCTTCTTTCCCTCTTTGCTTTATTCCCATTTGGTTAATGGCTTCACCATCAATCTAAATTGCAAAAGTATAATTCTCTCTTTCTCTTTCTCATGACCTCTGAAAACCTGACCACTATTGTGCTATTTTTTAAGAAAAGTTTTCTACTTGAAAACATTTCATTTCTATCTGTGAAGTGAATGGCAACCATACATATTCAACCATATACTACTGCATATAGTTTCTTTTCAAATCTAAATCCTGAAAATTCTACCTCCATAGTATCTTGGCAGTCCATCTCCTTTCAGCCAATCCCACTACAATTGCTTCAAGGCACATCCTAGTCATTCCTCATGAAGATCATCTGCAATTATTTCTTAATAGCTTTTACTTTCCTTTATTTATTTATTTTTTTTACTTGCCCACATCAGTAACCTCTTACTTCCTTTGCTTATATTTGCTTTCTCCTTAGGTCACTGTCCTGTCCTGTCTTCTTTTTGCTAAGAGGCAATTAACAAAACTGTATACAGTATGTCTAAGTAAGGTAACAACAAAAGGGAGAGCCCCCTAAGGATGGTGATCAACATGCTGAAGGGAGCCAAGTCACCATCAATAAGGAGTAATGGGAAGAACTGGAAATCTATCCTGGAGACAATTCAGATTTTTTTTCCTGGAGTGTTATTTATTTTTTCTTTATATGAAATCCAGGATCATCAATCAGGCACCTTTTTTTCCTAAATGAAAAAATAGCTCCTTTTCCTTGATGAGAAATGCTTACTTAAGGTTCCTTTTCCTTAATAGCAAATGCATACAAAATGTTCTCATATTTTTCTGTCTATTGGCCTGCTCATCGTGGGAAGGAAGCCAATCAATCTATAATGCTCATTCCCTGGGAAGCCTTTCTTAGAAATGAGCTCACAATAACATTTACCAGTTTGCTGGAATAATGGTCAATTTGAAAGGTAAGCTATGAAATTTCAGTATCAGTTCCCTAAACATAATACTGAATGTCCGCTGAATGTCCTAATTTTCAAGTGGAGGTGCCTGACATATTACCTAATTTAAATGATTTTTTCCATTCTTACTTAAATATTATTTCCAAATTGTTTTGTTTTGAAAATTGTATTTTTGCCATATTTATTGTTAATCAGTCTTTCTCACCAGGGTACCATAATGGTGACCACAACGCTGGATGTTTTACCAATAATTATTTCCTATGCCCTCTGGCATTTGCCTTCACAAAAGTATGTTCAATATACTCTATTTCCTTTCCATGCCTACATAATATTGGGTTGTCAAAAAAGTAATGATACATTTTTGCATAGGAAAACACAGAAAAATATGTGATGACTTTTCCGATGGCCCAATATTTTGAGAAGGCATTTGTTTTATTAAAAACCTACCTTTGCCTCTTGTCCTGTTGAGACAGTCTGTTGATCTAAATGAGGTTGCTTTAAAATCCTTCATTATTAATTACCTTACCTTAATGCACAAGTCTAAAAGCAAAAATCTCTTTTCCTATCATTTATAATAATAAATTACTATATTAATAATGAGACAGCATTTGATAATGTATATGGTAAAATTTTTGTCTTGACTGATATTCCCTGTATTTGTGCTGTGTCCCATGTTGCACAACATAAAGATATATAGTAATTAAATGAAAATAACAAATATATATAAATAATAAAATAATGTGACAGATTTCATGAAGCTTACAATAAATTCAAACCTTTAACTTAATAAAAAAATCTTGCATTTATTGAGCAAACACATGGTTTAAATGGCCTATAAGAATGTTGAGAGTGACTAGGATTTGAAGCGTATGTGATAATTCTATTTTTGCTGCAACCTTTGCCATAACATCAAATAGACTACCCAGTATACCAAATGAATGAGCCCTTTGTAGTCTTACCCATCTCCCACCTCTCTCTTCTATGTTGGCCTCTGAAAAACATGGTTTCTACCACATCTGCCAAGTATCTTTGTACACACCTAGTTTTGAAATAAATTCAAGGGACAGGGGAGAGCAAGACTAAAGTTGAGTGTCTTACTGTTAGAGGCTATAATCATAGTAATATTAGTCATTTTCTTCTTCAAGGCTAGCTAGTAGCAAGTTTGATAATGAATTTTCTCTCCACTTTAAATAGCCTATCCTTACGTCAAATAGATGAATTCAAAACAAAGATTAAAAATATCCATATATTAAGTGGTCTCCTGTAATCTGATGTTACATCTATTGATAGGACTAAAATCCTAACTCTGGTACTATGCCATTATTGCTTATATTTAAATGTTAAAAATGTTTTAAAGTTTAATTTGGTGTCATGTTTCATATTGAACTGTAGTATACATTGTTTAAAAATTCACCTAATAAATTCCAATTTTCACTCTATTCACTCAAACTTGAAAGAAAAAAGCAAGAAATGTATACATAAGAAGAAGCTGAATTGTGCTTCATGGAGAAATAGTACTCGAAACAGAGGCAGATAGCAAGCATATTCTTACTGAATGGAGGATAAGACATAACAGTCTAGAAACACTTTTAGCATTGGTCTTTATGTCCTCAGGTTAATCTGAGGGAGCGATATCACTAATTTCCTTAAGAATACATCTGGATAAATATAAATATACGTTGAACTTAGTTACAGAAATGGCTGTTTCCCATAGCTGCAAAGCAAGATGGCAAGAGAACATCATATGCTACATAGAATAAAATCTCAAACAACACTGTATACAGGAATGGTCAGTGAATCTTTGATTTTATACTAAAACCATCAGTTTTAAATGGATCATCTAATACAGCAGTCCTCCCTTAACTGTGGTTACACTTTCTACAGTTTTGGTTACCCATAGGAAACTACTTTCCGGAAATATTAAATGGAAAAGTCCAGAAATAAACCATTTGTAAGCCTTAAATTGTGCACTATTCTGAGTGGCGTGATGAAATCTTGCACCATCCCACTCTGTCCCATTTGGGATGTGAATCATCCTTTTGTCCAGCATAGCCATTAGTGTTAGCATGTGTTATTAATAGTATACTATTAAATAATATCAGCAGTTATTATTGATAATCTCTTACTGTGCTTAATTTATAAATTAACCTTTATCTTAGGTATGTACATACAGAACAAAACATAGCACATATAGGATTCAGTACTATCAATGATTTCAGGCATCCACTAGGAGTCATGAAACTTATCCCCTGTAAATAAGAGGAGACTGTTACAGATACAAGTTTCACAGGAAGTTAGTACAGCCTTTCAAATGAGATATTTCTGTCAAAAATACTTTTCCCCTTATCACAGAAATCTGCACACATATACAGCACATTTCACTTCATATCAGATAAAAACATGCACAGTAGAAGGCTTACTGAGGTGTACAAGTATCCCTCGCTGTTCATTGCCAAATACAGCTTGGTTTGAACTCCTTGGATAGCCACCACTCGAAGACCCACAGGGATGAGGTTAAACAGAGCTGAAATTTAAAAGATGTGAAAACAAAGTCACAATTAGGAATTTCATAGCTTTCAGTGCTACCAGCCAGACTGGTCTTTAAAATAGTGTATACTTGGTGAGGATAGCTAGATATATATGTATACACATGTGGATAAAGAGGGCCTCATTCTACCTTTAACATACTTGATTCATGGCTGCAGTGACATAACTGAGGCTATAACTCTATGTTCTCAAATGCCCTGGAGAAAATAGAAGACTGGCCACAATTTCATGGCTTTTATAGTGTTGGAGGTGAAGAATTTTGATGCTTCTTGGAGAGATCCAGTTCCAAGAATTGATCTGTACACAAAATGGTGTCGTTCTCAACAAACTACGGTTTTCAATTTATATAACTATTGATAGAGGCCTGCTAGTTATCTGAGTGCCCATAAACAATTGCTGAAATTCTGATAGGCACAGTTAAGATCTTCCAGTTGAGGAGAGACTCCTAGACTCATAGAAGAGACATCATTCTGATACACTCATCTAAAGTATTTGTTATTTCCCATGCAAAAACACAAAAATAAATCCAGGCCTCACAAAAAAGTCCTTTGTAGTCCTATGTTCCCATAAGAATCAACATTTTCCAAGATAGAACTGAGAGGGCTCCTTGCTTTTAGTCTCCAAGAGCAAAGGTTATAGAAATAAAAATTAATACACTTGGGGGAGGCCTACGGAATTAATTTATTTTAGTTTTTGCAAAATAGTTGCAAGTGGGCAGCCTGTTGGTGCCAGCAAGGCCTTCATTTCTCCATTTGAAGGTCTGACTTTGCGAAACTTATACCCAGGCTCTCCTCACAACCACACACCACTCACTGGAGACAACCAGTGGGTGTCCTCCCACTACCAGCTGTCTACTCCCTCCCACACCATGAATAAAAATAAGATAGTACATTTTTAAAACGTAGTGCTTGCCACACACATCTTTTGAAAATAGCCTGTGCACCTTTTTCTCAGGAGTCGTAGACCAAGGTTGATTTTTGCCTTGTTTTTTAAGTGTATTGAGAATGATAAATCAGTCTTCTATCATTTGTATGAACAAGAATGTAAAAGAGCCACCCCATGAAAAATAACAGAGTTTGTAGAATTGCTTATCTCTCTGTGTATATATTCTGCTGCAGTAGTTAGGGTAATAAGTTTGAGAAATATTAATTAAGAACTCAATATTCCTTGGTGAGCCTACAGTGTATCTTTCCCCTAAACTCAGGGTGTTATCAAAGAGGAGCTAGGACATATTGTACAGTTCAAAATACAAGTGTTCCTACCACATGCCACTGGAGGCACTTCATTCAATACTCATCATATTAAAAACTGTGCCCTTCTGTTCTTTGAGGTAAAGGGAAGTAACTGCACAGATCACAAGCCAGGATCCCATGCTGCATTTGACAATGCAATGTAAAGGCAAGAAAGTGTGACATCTTTGAGCATGTCATGTACATGTCATATATCTTTCTGTTGGTGATGCCTTTTGCTCACAGCAGGTGCTCAACGCACATTTGTAGATTGGTAGCAATCTGTATGGTGAAAACATGATAATGTATTTTTGGAAAGTAACGGATCACAGTCCCATTATATAAAAGCTCATAGTTAAAATATTCTGAGATCTAAAAAACACCCAAAACTTCCATATGGGTTTAGTTTAAAAGCCGTATCACTACACACCACTTGACAACTATGACTCCAGCATACATATAAAACCCAGTTTAGTCATAGTAATAGATGATAGAGAATGATAAATGAAATTCAGGATTACTTCCATATTTTCATTTTATACAATATTCAGAACCTTCTTAGTTCTCTTAATATAGCTTGTAACAAGCAGAAAAAAAAAAGAGTGGAAAAGAGATTAATTTTTGCCTTGTTCCTCAATCACTCTCTGATTTGGGTTTTAATGAGCAATGAAATGTAAAAATTTCAAGCAAAAGAAAACAGAAAGAAGAAACAAAGAACATCAGCAATCCATGCCTGGGATTAGTGAATTCTGAATACTGGTTTTAACTACAGTAAAACACGAATTTTTCACTACGTACTATGAAGTTCTATGAAGCCTGATTGAAAACAAATAATACTACAGCAAAACAAACACGTGAAGAGAGCAGCAAATGTAGAGAGTGGCTAATCATACCAGACTAATCCTTTTTTTTCTTTAGACATTCAAGATAGATTGTAAATTAAGTTGGCTTAAATATCTGTCTAAAAGTACAATCTTTCTGTACAAAACTGCAAAAAACGTATGTAAGGAGTGAGCTTGGACAGAACCATTCCCTCCCTATATGCCTCTGTTTCTCTAAATCTATAGTGTTTCATCATGGACTTAAGATACTATTTTGATCATAATAAAAAAATTCTAAATATGAGAAGAAAAAAAATATATCTAATCAATCTACAACACATTAATTAATAGACCTAAAATATCTTTTTCTACTTTCATCCAAGTGTTTATGAAGTTTTTCATAAATAAAAGTACTTTTTTCTTGTTTATTCTCTGCTGTGTTTATATAAAAACAGTTAAACACCTTCTACTTTGGAGCATTTTCTCAGAAACATGTACCTAGCTGGCATTCAGTATTTGCTGAAGACAACACTGAAGGCATGCTTCATTATCAATGGGACTAAGGTCAATCTCCTAAAGGGTGTAATTGATGTAAGTATATATTAATATAGGTTGGAAAGACTTGACACATGAATGGCAACACCACTGCAGGTTTGATGAGAAAGAGCAAACTATTCTTTTAAAATAGGTTTCATTGCACACAAGGCAGGTATAATCTCATTACTGCCATGACATGTCTATCATCTTTTCCCTTTTCTAGGGAAAATACAAAATTTATAATGGCTGATTTGATCATGATGAGACTTTATTGGACTGACATTTACCATTGTAATAAATCTATATAAGGTAAGCTTAAATGCATATCAAACATGTTTTTGGAAATGAATATATCTGGAAAAATGTGAACTGATTAGTTTTATGATCTTGCTTACCACATCAGAACTAAAATAGTAGAAAATTCATCAAATTCCACTAAATGTGAAAAATGATAAAAATAAAAAATAAGAAAAGGAAGAAAAATATAACAATGCCAAAAACATATATTAAGGACTCTTAATTAAATAAGAGTCATATTTGAGAAAAAACAATCTGTATTCTTCTTCCACTGACTTAAAATAGTTAATTAAGAAAATTAATGCCTACAAAGATTTCTTGGTTTCAGGGGAGAAAGGATAAATGTGGATGGTCAGACTTGCATTTCGATAGCTCTGTTTACTCATTAAACATTCTTGTCTTACGATGGAGCTTTTGCTGTAATATCTTCAGTGGGGAAGCTAAGATAGCTCCCTACTTTCTGGACAATCTTGGCGTCAGAGGTATAGTCAAGACCTGCTGACTTGCTTTTTTTTTTTTGAGATACTTTCTATCCATATGTCTTATGTTATAGAAATACTTACCTTTGATTGACTTACTGCTCTTTATTTCAATCTGCCAAAACACAGATTCTTATTATCAGGCTAAGTTTTTTAAAGGTCTTCCACTATCACTTATACAGAGAAACCCTGGGCATGTCAGCCGGTCATAAGACAACCAAAAGGCAGAAGCTATGCTTTGAGATACTTTCTATCCATATGTCTTATGTTATAGAAATACTTACCTTTGATTGACTTACTGCTCTTTATTTCAATCTGCCAAAACACAGATTCTTATTATCAGGCTAAGTTTTTTAAAGGTCTTCCACTATCACTTATACAGAGAAACCCTGGGCATGTCAGCCGGTCATAAGACAACCAATAGGCAGAAGCTATGCATATGCAGGAACTGAAGTGTAAAACCTATGGCATGATTTAAAGCTCCAAAGTCAGAAAAGGAGCCTTGATTTACATGAGTGTGTATGGTCTATGTGTATCTACAAAATGACTGCATGCAGAGTAATCTTGATGAGTTTGGCATATAACTATTTTTAAAGTTTTTCCTTTTCAGGAAATGGATGTGAACACTCCACCCAAAACACATCTCTGATTTGGATCTGGAAAATATGTTAAAAATAGATGAGGGGAAAAGTTAACTGGGTAGGGCTCATTGGAAACTACTCATGAACTTCCTTTAGTAATGCCCAATGGACCCATTTTCCTGAAGCACTTTGGAAAACAAAGCAGCTTACATCTTCTAATTACTTCCCCAAATACCGATTTTTATGTGGATGTTGTATTGTTGATCATCATGTACGTTGGTTACAGTAAAGCCCTCTGGTTACATCTGGGTAATTGTTTCAAAGAGAAGAATATGCCTGAAGAATGACTGGGTTTTATTGTAAAACTTGAATATCACAATAGTAAGACAGTATTTTGCAAAACAGCAAAGACTCATTTATTATGGAGGTGTTTCATCTTAGGTAATGAGAGCTTTCTTCAAGGGTAATTAAAGGTGACTATCATCTGAGGTCCTAACTTGGCCCAGGAAGCATTCCTAAAAGGTGTGAAACTCTTTTTTTTTTTTTTTTTTTTGTGGGGGTTTTCCC